GCATCTCACTTAACTCTCACCACCCCACATAGCTCATTAAGTATTCATCAGTTAAATAGTTTCTCTAACTCTGGTGACATGACACCGATCCTAAACAAAGCGGTTTGTAACTTCAAATAAATAAACTTTGTTTTAAACATTCCTTTTTTCCCAAACTGTATTGTTTGGGAAAAAAAAGGAATGTGTAAAACAAATTTTATTTCTATGAAATAAGAAACCACTTTGTTTAGGATCGGTGTCATGAAATTTATCGTCAATAAATATTATTCCAAATCAGCAATTTATTTTGGTTGTCGATTTACCAAGTCCTGACGCAAATAGTTCTTTTGTTTGTTTTCCAAAACACACACCAGGTTATTTACATTTCTCTAAACCATATTTTGAACTCCACATTCCATTCTGCAATTTCATTTGCGTACATTTTTGGCGTTAACAACATTCGCTTCCCGGTCTTGACTGACATTCAACTAACAAAACAGTCAATGACAAGAATTTCTCTTTGCCGAATTCCTAAATGAGCTAAACATTCCCTGCGACTAAACGGCTGTATTTTTATCAAAACAAAATTATTTCAAATTTTTCTGCTGAACTCATGACAATTCTTATGTGCGTTTTCTGTTTATCAGAAAGAAAGAAAGAAAGAAAAAAACAACTTTTTCCCTTGCTTCATATTTCAATTCCTTCTTCTTCACTTTAACGTTTTCAATTCTTCCAGTGCTCCAACTCTACACGGTATTTTCACCTGAACATTTTCAATCCTATTTTCTCACCACCAGTGTCAAGATAGTGTCACATTCCTTCCAGCTAAAACCAGTTACCCTTTATAGTGTCATCAGAGGTCTGTAATAATGAAAACACTTTTCATAAATTTTAATTGTTTTTTTTTTTACATATTCGTTAAAGGACATTTATTGCTATATGATTTGAATAGAGGACAACTTCTTTTAAAGAATTATGACTGTCATTCAAGGGACTGTATTGATCGAACAACTTCGGCTTATCAGAATAAAGAGTGTAAAATCTTCAGTATGTGTCATAACTTCCGTACTTGCCAGCTAAGAAATCTCTATCTATAAAAGGCAGAATGTATGTGTGTGTGTAACGAATGCACGGCCGCAATTTTTGACAGATTTGCAGCAAAAATTGCCTGCACATGCTCCAAGTTGCGGGAAGGTCAAGACCGACTTTTCATTTCCCAACTCCCATCTATAGTGGAAATAATCGATTTTTTCATGCTTCTACAGCAGTTTTTATGTAGTTTGCGGCCATTTTCTATTGGCCAGAGAGAGAGCCTATAGCTGGCTGCCACGAATAGGCAGGAATATTCTATTGGCCAGCGTAAGAGCCAACAGCTGACTGACACGAATGTTAACTAGCATGCTAGCATGAAAAAAAATCGATAGCTGCATTCGCCATAGGTGGGAAAAATTTAAATCTGCATGGCACTTTACTCCAATTGGCTCATTCGCTTGCTTAAACTCAGCATTGATTTTGATTCCGCAGAAGTGGGTTGGGCGTGAAAAATTATTTGTTGTTAACATTCTTTTTTCATTCGGTTTTTCCAGTTACGATTCCTTTTTTTTTTTTTTTAAATCTGATCGTTTTGTGTTCACTTTGTTTAGTTCTTTTTTCGTAACAGATTTAATGGTTAGTATAGAGCTTAGAAAAAATTCACAGTGTGAGATAGGCAAGAAGTAAGGTATATAGTAACATCAGCACGGCAAAGGGCACTCCTTTAACGACAAGGAAGGGCAAAAATATTTTAAGTCAAGTGATAGCGAGTGCTGTATGGGTCGTACGATTTTTGAATCAAGCACGGGCAACGCCGGGCCATGCTGCTAGTATCAGAATAAATCTTCAGTATGTGTCATTACTTTAGCTTATCGGAATATTGTGAAATCTTCAGTATGTGTCATAACTTCCGTACTTGCCAACCAAGAAATATCAGAAAAATAATTTAATATAAATAGAAAATGATAAAATTATAACGTAAATCATATGCTCATTGTCTGTTAATTTTTAATTAAAGAGCTGAATATTGAAACCCGATTATTTGATGAAAGTTCTGCAGTAGATGAAACCACCAAAATGCACCAAGAGAATGCAATTAAAACCATGGAAATAGCAATTAAAAACGGGAGCGAAAATCGCCCATACGTAAATGTGTTCCAGGAGTTTCTGCAAATCTCGCCCAAGAAATCGAATATTCAGAGAAACCCTGTTTGGACGTTTTTAATTTAATTGTGCATCCATTATTATTTACATTTAAAGAGGGCCTTTGTAACTCTCGTTCATTAAAAGATAGAAAAATGGGCGAGAATAAAAACGACCTAGAAGTCAAAATGGAAATGGAGAAGCAATATAGAAAATTGAAATTTGTGAGCGTGGGGACTAGAATCTGATGAAAATAGAAGAAGACAATATGGAAATATAATGGTTAAGGATAATGGATTAAAATATGTGGAAGTGGAGCTAGCAGTGAGAATATACCAGTAAACTAGTAAAACTGTTTAGATGTTTATGGAAATGTTGAAACTAAAAAAAGACCAAACTAAATAAAGATTAACTTTTAAAACATATACAAGCTTCAGAAAATTAGTGGATTAGCATCTGAGGAAAATAAACCAGAAATCTGAGATTGTCTGAAAATCATTAAGGACTGAGATTAAGGAGAAGGAGAAATAAATAAAAAATTAATGGAGACGGATGAGTAGTGTATTAAAATATTCCAACATTTAAGAAAAATGGTTTAGGAACCAGGGTAAAGAAGGTAGAAATTGAGGAAAATGAACGAGCAATGGACGAAAACGGACGAGCTATGAAAATGTTGTAGCAGTTAGTTAAAATGGGTTAGGATTTCTGAAAAAGAAGCAATGAGTTGTTGAAAACAGGCCGGCAATCGAGGAAAACAAACTAGTAGTTTATGAAAATTTTGTAGCAATTAGAGAAAGTTGATAGAGTTTTGGGGACGATGGGCTGAACTTTGGGAAATGTAGGCCAGCAAAAGCGGAAATTGGAGTAGTAGTTAGTGACAATAATGTAGTAGTTGGAAAAAATGGATTAAGACTATGAGAAAATTATTTAAGAACTGAGGAAAAAAGATCTGTAATTGAAGAAAACTCTTTGTAAAAATATTGTGGCACGTTAAAAATATTTTAGGATCAGTGAATAAAGATCTAGCAGTTAGCGAAAATAGACCAGCAATGTAGGAAAACGACGTGTAATCGTAATAGTTAGCCATACGCAGATGACACGGTACTGATAGCAGACACAGGAAAGACATTACAAAACCTATTACAGATAGTAGCGAAGGAAAGCGAGAAGAAGGGACTAAGCATAAACTACACGAAGACAGAATGCATGGTCATCAGTAAAAAGATGAGACCGAAATGCGATTTCCAGGTCAGGGATTCTAAAATCAAGCAGGTGCGGAAATTTAAATATCTGGGAAGTGTTTTAACAGAAGATGGCGAGTGCAACGCAGAGATCCGAAGACGTATTGGGATGGCCAAAGACGCATTCCAAAAGTTAATCAGAGTATTACAAGACAGGAGGGTTTCGCTGGTAGAAAAGAAAAGAGTACTGAATTGCTACGTGAACGATGTCCTCCTTTACGGCAGCGAATGTTGGACGGTTTTCTCAAAGATGAAGAAGAGACTCGAGGCGGCGGAGGTATGGTTCCACTTATGGATGCTAAGGATATTATGGACCGAGCACGTGAGCACCGATGAGGTCTTAGAGAGGTTGCAAACAAGGAGGAAGCTATACTGAACATCAGGAAGAGGCTGTTGACATTTCTGGGATACGTAATGCAAAAGGAGGGCTTGGGGAATCTGGTACTCACAGATCTTATAGATGGAAAAATAAACAAGGGAAAACAACGCATTCTAAGTCATCCACTTGCTTAAGTGGATGACTGAGCATGGCCTGGGGGCAATAGTAGGGAGGCAGAACTTATTGAGAGCTACAAGGGATAAGGCGAAGTGGAGAGCGATGGTCGTCTAGGTCCTGAAGGGACACGGCACATAGAAAGAATAGTAGTAGCTAGGGAAATTGATTAATATCAGAGGAAAAGGACCTAACAATGGAAGAAAATTATTTATTACGAGTTTGAAAGATGTTGTAACGGAGAGGGAAGGAAGATTAAAAATTTGAGAAATGGATCTAGCAGTTGGGGAAAGATATAACGGCAATTGAGGAACAGAGATTAAGAGCTTATGAAAATGTAATAATGTATTATGATCTGGAGAAAATGAACTTGTAGTTAGAGAAAATAGACCAACAATAGAGAGAAACGGATTAGCAGTTTATGAGAAAAAATATTAGTAAAGGAAAATAGAATAGATCTTTAAAAAAAAAAAACTAGGGGTTGTGAAAAGTAGACCAACAATTGCGGAAAACGGACTAACAGTATATGAAAATGTAGTAATATGGGAAACGGATTAGGATGTAGGGAAAATGAGTTAAAAACTGCGAAAAATAAACGGGCAATGGAGGGAAATTGAATAACAGTTTATGAAAACGTTGTAGCACTTAGGAAATGTGGATTAAGTTTAATGGAAAAATGATAAGAGTTGGAGAAAATGGACCAGGCTTTTGATGAAAACGGAACAGCTGTTTGTGATAATGGTCTAGCAATATGGAAAACTGTATTAGGATGTGGGCAAAAGAGATACCAGCTGTGTAAAATAAACCAGCGTTTGAGGAAAACAGACCAACAGTTTATGAAGATACTGTAGAAATTAGGGAAACTGAATTAGGATTTGGAGAAATGAACTAAAAATAGGGAAAATAGACCAGTGATTTAAGTAAACGGACTAGCAATTAATGAAAATGTTGCAGCAAGCCAAAATTCAAACTATGTTAAGGCAAATGTAATTGAGTAATACTTCAAGACATATATATATATATATATACATTGATTGATATATATATATATATATATATATATATATATATATATATATATATATATATATATATATATATATATATGAATATTGAAGTCAAAACTCAGATGCGACGGGCCGTTTGAGGAGGACGCAATCGCCAGGCGGCCTGACGATTGCGTCGAGCATGAAACAGCCTGTTGCCTCTGAGTGTTGACTTCAATGTTCACTTTTATATTTATATTTACATACGCTCTATCTCTGATATTGAACACTTTATCCCATAAATATAGCACACCTTAAAACTATATTTCTTCATATATATATATATATATATATATATATATATATATAACGTATATATTTTTTATTTTTTCGCTTACTTTTTTGCATACCAGACTTTGAATCATGGCACTTTGTGTCTTCCACATGTTTTGAATGACTTTTCAACCACATGATGAATATTCATGAACGTTCTTAAATTTAAAAAACCTTGATGAACCAATGACATCCTTGCTCTTGTATATGAAGACATGCAACAAATTAAATCCTACATTTATCTTAATAATTTTCCCTACAGAACGAAACGCTTCGGCTAAGAATAGTTTTTACTTTTGTCTTTTTATTCACACACACACACACACACTTATATATATATATATATATATATATATATATATATATATTTAATAATTAAAATAATGTCTTTCACCAATATTATTTTAAATTATATTCTGAACATCTTGGAAGTTTCTTCTAATCTTCACCAAACTTTACTGGAATCTTTTATAGTCTTCAGTATTTCCAATATAATCGTTCAGTAGGCAGACAGGTTAGGTTTTCCACAGTGAATTGTCATACAGGACAATAGCCTATTGGTGACATATTAATTATGATTTCAGTCACTGGGCCGCTGCAGTGTGTAATTGGATTCGATGGAAACAAGGTGGACAATAATTGAGCAGTACTAAAAATAAGAACTAGATGAAATACCCCTAGACATGGGCAGTGGAACGAGAACAGTCTACGACCCTATATTTAATAAAGGATTATGTTCGGAATTCCCTGTAGATGACCACAACTGATATGCTCTGGATGATGGCTGGAGCCCACAACGCCCAAAACGTTGGAATAACATCAACAAAGAGGAACACAAGAAGCCGAATGTAAAGAAGAATGACTCCTCATCCTAGAAATTCAGCCTGAAAAGAAAAATAGTATAGAAAAAAAAAAAACATAAATGCCTTTGACAATATCTCTTTAAAAATTGGAAGATTTTAACTTTTAATCAAATTTAACAAATAATAATGAAATAGAAATAATAAAGAGACAACACTTATTGAGAAGCTACAAGGGACAGGAAGATGTGGAGGACCATGATCGCCTATGTCCTGAAGCAACTCAGCACATAAAAGAATATTGTGCTAAAAGTAAAACAAATCATATTCTTCTATGTTATTACTTGTTTCATGAAAACAAAGAAAAATGATTTTTACACTATTTACATTCAGATTATTACTCTCATCGTAAGTGTCATCCCAACGTTTCAGCTGTTGTATTCTTCAGCCTTCATCAGGTGTATTTTGATCTGGGTAACCTATGGAAAAATAGCCTAACAGATTATAGCATTGGTTCTAGAATTTGGTCATATAGTAATTGTGAGTTCAATCCCTGGTCTGGGAAGTGTGTACTTGGAATCCTTGGAATCATGGTGAGCAATAATTGTGCAGTACTAAAAATAAGCACTAGATGAAATATCCCTAGATATGGCAGTGAAACAAAGTCTACGACCGTATTTTTATTAAAGTAGTCAGTTTGAATTTCCCTGTAGATTATGAAAGTCAGAGGGAGCAATGGCCGAAATGTTCTGATAAAAACAACAAAAATGAAAATAATGTGCATGTCAATAATGTAAACTCTAAAATACCCGTCAAAATTCCACTATTCCCTCGTTAAATATTTGAGCTAAACAACTTGAACAAAATATTGCAATAATAATCACAAGTATGAAAGCAGGTCATTAGTTTAAGAAGTAAGAGGGTACAAATGAAAAGATTAGAAACTGAGAAGGTTTTCGCTTCAACTGAAGAAGCCTTTAAACAAAAGTGAGTGTTACTATCTTATTTATCTTTTCTTTCTTTCTTTCTTTCTTTCTTTCTTTCTTTCTTTCTTTCTTTCTTTCTTTTTTCCCGAAATTCAAACGGCGCTTTGATATAGCGTTGTCCCACTTCTATCCTTGCAAGCAAACAAGAACGGTCCATTGTTTATCTGAGGTAATGACAAGTTAAGTTCAAAGATTATGAAATACCCGTGGAAATGGTCCTATTACATTCTTCAATATTACAATAACAATCACAATTATGAATGTGGGTCATAATTTAAACAAGTAATAGGGTAGAAGTGAAAAGATTTAAAACTGACAGATTTTCCCATTTCCCTGAAAGAGTCGTTAACCACGTGAGAACCTCTTTCTTTTTTTTTTCGTTCTTTCCTTCTATTCCTCACTAAAACCAAACAACGTTTCTAATATGTCTTTTTTGTATTTACGCGCGATCAAAACAGAATAGTGTATTATTTATGCGATATTGGCAGGATGTAACGCAATTCCTAACGAACAAATTAAGGAAGTATAATAATTATAATATAATAATGAAATTAAGAAATACATACATTGAGTCAATTGTTTCGTCCACCGCAAGGAAAGTTGGCTCCCTGTGCCGCGCCAGGAAATTTTTCTCCCCGGAATCGATCCTCCAGATCTACAAATCAACAATTCGCCCTTGCATGGAGTATTACTGACATATATGGTCTGGAGCCCCTACTGTTTGCCTCGGTGTTCTTGATAAGCTCCAGAGGCGGATATGCAATGCAAATGGCCCTGATCTGGCATCTCGTCTACAGTCACTTTCTCACAGACGCGCCGTCGCCTCTCTCTGTCTTTTTTACAAATACTTTCATGGTAATTGCTCTGAGGAACTGCATTCGCTGGTTACCAGACTTCATGAATTCAAGCGCCCTACGAGGCTGGCATCCCGCTCTCAACCTTTCACTGTCGAAACTATTAAATGTAGCCGTCTCTTCTACTCCAATAGCTTCATGTCTCGCACCTCTCGCTTGTGGAACTCCCTTCTCTATTCCTGTTTCCCTGAGAGCTATAATCTCCAACTATTCAAATGTAATGTCAATCGACATCTCCAATTGCCTTGATCTATCCACTATCCTTCTCCTCATTCTTTTCCTCTATCACTCCTATCTGACCTTGCTCCAAATCTTCTGTAACCTCTTGCGTCCTAGTGGCTTCCCGCCTTGCTTGGGGTGGAATGCTTAAATAATAAAAAATAAAAAAAAATTGATTTTCGGGGAGTTTTTTTTTTTTCCTCTCCAATACAGACCGTTACAAAATAACCCCGATGAAATTATTCATTTTTCGTTTGGCGTTTTACGATTTTTATTTAATATTGCGAAAATGAATAAATAAATAAACTTTAGCCAAAATGTCGACGTTTTCGCATTGGGCGTGACAAATATTTTCTACAGATCTTCCGATTGCAATGTCACGAAAAGTATCGATTGGCCATTGGAATCAGTGATTGAAGAAGAGAACCCCAGCCCCACAAAAATCAACTCACAACGACATGTAATCAGTTTCCTCTGTAAGGCAAAAACAAAAACGATAACAAATAATATGACATTTTAAAATATACAAGCAATCAGAAAATTAGTGATTTGTTTTGGCAAAGAATTAAGAAGAAAGAAAGAATAAAAAATAAAAGAAAACCTTGATTTTTGTTTTCAAGATAGTTGTGGATGAATAAGAAAAAGAAAATTGATTGTCTTCGGTCTAATCAATTCCTGGTTCCTGTTGTTTATTTCTTCCTTATTTTTTGGCCTTTCCCATCATCCAATCAAGATCAGTAACCTTAAGTTTTTATTGATATTTACTGACTTTAATCTAGCGTAAAAATAAACAGGGAAAAATAGAAGGTTAGCCGAATCCTCAGTACAAGATTATACAATCTATTATTTCATGTTTTTTTAACAACTTTAAGCGCTGATTTGTGTATGTAATACATTGATAAGAAAAAAATACTTAAGAATACTGAAAATAGGAGGATAGGCTAAGGTTCAGTATAACTTTCTACAATTGATTGTTTCTTATAATGTGTGAACAGGTTTAAGCGTCCAGTGTGTACATATAATGCATTGAAAAGAAAGACGCATACAGAATAGATAGGGAAGAAAGAGAGGCTAGCTAAATCTTCAGGACAACACTTCTTCTTCTTCTTCTTCTTCTTCTTCTTCTTCTTCTTCTTCTTCTTCTTCTTCTCATTATTATTATTATTATTATTATTATTATTATTATTATTATTATTACTCGGTTTCTTAGTTACTATTTATATCTTCTTTCTTTCTTTCTTTCTTTCATTCACTCATTCTTTCTTTCTTTCTTTCTTTCTTTCTTTCTTTCTTTCTTTCGTTTTTTTCTTCATACTCATCACTCCTTCTTAGTAACCTGCATTTTCTTTTTTGACATTTTGTTTCCTTTTTTCTTTTTCTCTCTTGTCTACTTTCTTTCTTCTATATTCCGTGTTTTTTCTCGGCGTCGATGATTACGACTCTCCACAACTTCCTATCTTTCGCAGCTATTATTGACTTTTTTTGTTATTTTCACCACCCCTAGACCCTGTTATCCATTTATCTCCTTAGGTATGTTGCTCAACAATTTTCTCTGCTACCCTCCCCACCTCAGCATACACTGTGTCCTATGAGTGTCAAATTTTCCAAGCCCGCTTTTCCGATCATATGCCCCCCACCACCACGTTTTAGTTTTCAGATCTTATGCATAAATGTCTTTTTCCCATTTTTCTTAAAACTTCCGCGTTAATCATATATATCCAGTCCATGGTATTCTCATTAAACTTCTGTAGAATCACATTTTTGTTACCTCTAGTCTCTTCCGTCCTGGGTAAGACGATAAACTACATCCATGTCCTGGGTAAGACGATAAACTACGTCCAACAGCAATGCCTCTGATCAGGCCTGTGTTAGGGTCCCAGCAATGGGTAAATAGTTAACCCCCAAACTGGGGTCAAATAATTATGAAAGTGTAAAAATAGGTTTTAATAGCAGAAATACTTTGTAAAAAAAATATATATATATTACCAGCAATACATTTTTGAAAAAAAAAATACTAGCTATACATTTTTGAAAAAAATAACCCATTGAGGTGTTGATATGCCGTAAACCAAACCAAACCAAACCAAATCTAGTCTCTTCTACATCTGTAAAGACATTTTGAACTGCATCTTGCATCACTGCTACTTAGGGTGTAAAAAAGAACACGGTAATAGTATATAAATCTTATAGTAGGAAGAATCATCGAAATTTGACCTATTAAAAGACACGCGATATTAGTATGTAAAGTTATTGATAGGTGGTACTAATGCACCTTGTCGTCTCAAAAGACTCATGGTAGTAGTATGTAATGCTAATAGTGGTTACCACCATCGCATATTAACATGTTGAAAACCACGCGATAGTAGTATGTAAAACTAATAATAGGTGGAACCACTTGATGTGTCAAAACATACGGGATTGAAGTATGTAAAATTATTGACAGAGAGAACTCTTGAATCTTGACATTAACAAAATACGCAGCATTTGAGAGGCTGATAAAACTACATAAAAAAATTACGAAAATTTAATTGATCATTGGCATTTAATAAAACACTTTTAAATTAATTTATCATGTTCATATATGTTATGATGTTGATTTGGGGTTAATAAGACAAACGCCAAATAACACGTAACAATAAAAAGGGATTTATTCGGTTGGTAAGTAGGTACAGAAATCGCCTGAGTAGTCTATAACTAACTGGGTCAAGAACTTCTCCGACTCTGTCTGTTTTTTGACATGCCACTATTTAACGTCTTTGTTTGTAGACAAGTTCATCTTCAAGAGGGGTGGTAGGTTTCCTACACAACAATATAAATATAACTTTTTTTTTTAAATCTTTAACAAAACATAGCAAGCTTATTATAAATGCACAATCTTTAATAATTTTTTTTAATCTACAACTTTACCTGGAAAACATTTCACGTCTTTGAAAAAAATAATTCCCTGTAGAATGAAAATCAACTTTATTATTTACAAAATAAAAAAAGGTATAGGGTACGATGGGTGTTGTAGCCATTTCATAATTTTAATCTCGCACATGCGCGTTGTTTGTTTTTTTCTGCACAGTATAGTAAGGTCAGTTGGGCACTGGCTGTGAGAAAAAGAGCACCATGACATAATTAACTCCGCCAGAAATTTGGAAACGACCGCTGTACTCCTTGGCATTCACGCCGGAAGCTCCAATACGAACATTTCAAAGTGTTTGGGTGTCAATTTGAGAATAGTTCAGAGGATTCAGAAAGAGTTGGATGAGTCTAATGGTGATTACGAAGGGGCTTAGAGCGATCACTATTAATGCTGACGTTATGTCTCAAATCATCTTCCTACAGGGCCTTAGATTCAACACGGAAGTCGACACGGATTGCCTTGAGGAGGTAGTTATGAGCTGGGTCAAAAGATTGGTCGCTGGTAGACTCTATGACTGGCCACAGGACTCTGCACCATGCCACACAAGCAAGAGAAATCAGTCATAGCTGACAGACAATTTCTGCGGCCACATCATCTCTTACATCTGGCCACCTAACTCCGCAGCCTGCAACCCCCATGATTATTATGTGTGGGCTGCAGTTGAGCGAGAGACAAAAAAAAAAACTCCCCTCAACACCAAAGATGAAGTTGAAAGTACGTATTATGTTAGTATTCACCAATTTAAACAAGGAGACCCGTCTGGAAGAGACGCAATTTTTATTGAAGAAATTTACTCTTTAGTATTTCAAAATGTTTTTCTGTAATCTTGGCAAATATAGCTGTTAAGATGAAATGCCAGTGTTATTTTCATTTCTGACTCATTTAGACGACAATTTATCCATCGCATGCTGTAGAGAGTCGGCAATGGATGAAATTATATGACATTTTAAAACCCCGCTATGGTACCTAGACTTAATGAATTTAAGCGTAGTGCTATATTGGCGGCAAGGTCTTATCACTTTACAGTTAAAATGGCTAGATATAACCGTAAGTTATATGCGATAAGTTTCTTCCTGCGCACTTCTCGGCTGTGGACTTCTCCACAGGTTGTTTTGTTTTCCAGCCGACTTCGAAAAACTGCCATGAAAATATTTATAAAAAGGGAGATTGCAGCTATGTTTTGACGCTGGGAAAATGACTGAAGCCGAGGAGTCAGATTATGACCGGTAATATAGCAGATATCTTCTTGTATTTAGTCTTGAATCTTCAGATACATAACAGAATCTCATACCTCATGTGGTAACACTATTCAATGGTAGACATAAATATACGAGATAGATTCTAGCGTGAAAAATTGTCTAGAACAACACAATGAACTAACATTCAAAACAACAGACTTATTTTTAAAATAATTCCCTGGCGAATATGTCTTTGGATAATTACTAAGATTTTGGAAATATTATGGAGATTTCACTTGAACGGTTAATCAATACAATTTTGGCAGAATTTTCTTCATTCTCCATAGGCAAGTTATTTATATTTACAGCCATTTATATCCCGACACACTCGGCTTGATTATGTTTCGCATCATAAGGGTTTTTATTTGCTTCTCTAGTGAATCGTCTTTTCTAAAAGGTCGAAACATTTAAATCGATCTAAGAATATCTCTCGAAAATATCACGGCCGTATTGAAGAAACCGACTGCTTAGCCGACGAGGTGAGCTTCTCATGTGTGGGAAAATAACATCTGGAAAATGTGAAGTATGGTCATGATAGAACAAAAGAAACAATGATGGCAGGTATATGGTATAACTATAGATAGATACACACACAAACACACACACATACATATATATACAAACACAAATAAAAACAAAGAACCGGTCAGATTATGTATCCGCAGTTCTCAGCATTTACTTTTAAAAATAAAGCAAATATATATATATATATATATATATATATATATATATATATATATATATATATATATATGTGTGTGTGTGTGTGTGTGTGTATATATATATATATATATATGTATATATATATATATATATATATATATATATATATATATGTGTGTGTGTGTGTGTGTGTATGTATATATATATATATATATATATAGTAAAATGAAGAGTTTCGTAATTTGTGTGAATAATTCCAAAGATGTTAAGGTCCAGAGAACTCAGTGTAAAACAAGAGCAACTATTAATTAAATGATAATTAAGAATATATTTTATATTCATGGAAATTTGATGTCTCGTTCTTGATTATTTAATTATTTATATATATATATATATATATATATATATATATATATATATATATATATATATATATATGAAATAAAAAAGTCTCAAACACTAATGTTCCATGGTTATAATTTTTTACATTGGAATCGTAATTACGATCCATTTCATCAGATTTACAAATTTGTAGGTCTGATGAATTGGAGGCTGGTTCTCGGTCTCATCTGACGTAGTCCCGGTGTATCTTGTCTCGAAGTCAGAACGCTATGTTCGCTTGTGCGAACGTGTTTGTGAACTTTTTACCATATTACTGTTGCTTTGCTTTGCATATAATTGCTTGCTTGTTCTATAATATTTTTTATCCTGTACATCTTTTACCTTGCAAATCGCTCATTGCAAACTTTGTCGATTCTGTTTGTTGGACAATTCTCTTATTTTACATTTGATCATGGCTACTCACTCTGGAGATAATAACAATAATAATAATCATCATCGTATCTATTCAGAATTTCTTTAGATATTCACTAAGTACAAAGCTCTCTAACAAAGACCTGCATTCAAATATTCGGCGTTGAATCTCAGCTGACCTGAGAGGCACTTTCAATTGGGAAAATGGGTTTTAAGTTAGTTGAGAGCCAGACGCAAATATTTGCTGAGCGGATGATTCAGCATTTTATATGTGAAGAGGCGTTTTTGCATTACAAATTCTCGTGTTACACTCCGAGTAATTGTGTATCTAAGCCTCAGTTGGTCTATTAATTCAACGACAGACACCTGTTCGAAGCAAACCTTAAATCGATCACGATGAAAACCTTAAATCGATAACAACATTAATGGAAGCTTGTGATCGTCAAATTAGTGGGTCGTGTTCAGTCAAAGAGACTGCTTATTTATCGCATTAGAAAGAATATGAAATTTGAATAAGCCTGCCTAGGTCGTCGATGGAAAACTGTTGTACTATACAAATAATTTATATTCTGTTCTATTTTTTATGTGGCCTGTGACATCATTGGTAGACTTTATTAAACAAATCTTTCAAATATTTTAATTAGTTCATATGATTATAAATAAAGTTAGACAGCAAATATCTTCAATGCTTTAATATAACTTCCTTGTGCTTTTTCTGTAATTATTTCTATAATAATTTTTTGAAGCACTTTCATCTTTGATGCCTCAACTTCTCAAGTTTAATCGTGGTACTAGATTGGCAATTAGATTTTATCACTATACAGTTGAAATTGATAGATGTAGCCGGAAGTTCTATGCTAACAGTGTCTTCGTTCGCACTTTTCACTTCTCTTGCGATATTCACTCTCGGTTTTCTTAATTTCCTGTAAACTATGATCTTTAAAAGTTTAAAGGCGACGCCATGATTAATCTTTTATTTCTGTCAACTCAGACTTTGTATTGTCCCCTTTTCTGCATAATCTTTTTCTCCATTTCCTTCATGCTCATTAACCCTTCGCGTATCAGTGGCTGTATCGACTTTCTTGGGGGAAAACGATAAAAAATCACTATATATATATATATATATATATATATATATATATATATATATATATATATATATATATATTTCAATTAATGGTGCAATTATGATTTATAAATTTATGAATCATTCATACAAAAAAACAAATATAGAGGTTAATGATTTAAAATGGCGAGATTACATCTTCGCAAACACTATAAATAAGATACACCAACCCAATATATATATATATATATATATATATATATATAAATTATGAATCATTCATACAAAAACAATTATAGAGGTTAATGATTTAAAAGATACACCAACACTATAAATAAGAACCAGTATATATATGGGGTTATATGTATCTTATTTATTTGTTTGCGAGGATGTATCTTATTCTCGCCAATTTAAATCATTAAGAATCTATATTTCTATATTTTTTGTATGAATGATTCATAAATTTATATATATATATATATATATATATATATATATATATATATATATATATATATATATATATATATATATATCTGTCTATATTTCTGAGATGAGGTATTATGTACACATTATTCGGGCTATTTTCCTAATCTTTGTCGCTTGGCACAGTGGATAAAGGCATTGGTTAGATCCAGAGGATAGGACCCAAAGAGTGTGAGTTCAATACCCGGTTAAGGATGCCCTGGAGAACTTGGAGAGGGGAATTAGTAGGGGATAATTGATAACTGACATACATCAAAACATGACATGTGGAACTAGAACAGTCTACTGTTCCGTTCGACATTCCAACCACCTGAAGAAGGCCGAAACGTGGTAATAAATAAATATGGCGACAAAGATGAGGACAATAGTACGAATAATGTAAATAGTATAGATATTTAGTAACAATAATTTTACCATAGAAATATTTAAAGAATTATTTTACAATTGCGATATATTTTGATTTAATTTATTATAACAGCACTTATTACGATTTGTTTCTAATTGTAGTTAATTTCAACTTAATTTAACTAAATTTTAAATTAAATTTTAATTTTTAAATTTCAAAATCTTTTGCTATTTTACTATAGAATTATATGAGAATTTATTTTACAAAGAAGTACATCATGAGTTAATTTATTATAACATCAATTATAAAAAATAAAAAATAAATTGAGATTTTTTTAAGGAAAAGATTAATCATTACTATTCTAAAAAAATTGTGTACATGTCCGACTTAATCTCCAAAATCTTCAATCTTTATCCCTTAAAATTACATGTAGTATCTCCAGCAAAATTCAAACTGAATTTTGATACAAAACAAAACAAAAAATTATATCTGTACTCTTTATAAAGTTGAAGATAATTGTTATTTAAAACTTTTTTCATTGCCAATTTTACTTTGTTTTTTAAACTTTTTTACGCTTGCTTCTTAAGTAAAGCTAGCCGAAGTGAAAATGTTTATAATTTTATAACATTTTCTTTATTAATTAAAATGATTTATTTTAATCTTTTCATTACTGAGAATCATTGTATAAAATTTACCGGGCTAATATGGTGGTTACTATTAGCTGTTTCTAAACAAGGAAACATTTTGCATTCATTGACCTAGCAGCTAGTACGGTTTTCGGTTTACATTTATAAAATCTTTGTCGAAAAACAATTTTTCCTGTTAAATAGGTTTATCAAGTGTTACTTTTATTGCTCTTTCTTGTAGTGATGGGTGTTTCCTTGCTAACCTTTTGTTTGAAGTAGTGTGGAATGTCAAAATCTTGATTATGGTATTATTTTCTCTTCGGATTATATGTGGTATACCTTTTTAGTTGATGTTGCTGTTGGTAGTCCTCAAGTAGTTTCTGTTATTTAGTACAGTTTTTTGCTTGTGATTCTGTCTTTTCAAAGAGAAATGGTGTTTGCCAAAACTCTCATGATACACTGGCACGAAACCATTTTAACCACTGAATCTTAGAAAGGAAACTTTCAGCATTCATTGACCGTACAGTCAATGCCACTGTCAATCGAAATTTAGGAACTGCTTCGTTTTAAACCATTTTTCGGTAAATTAGTATATTACATACTGATAATGCCTATAATGGGTCTTGGAAATTGAAGAAAATCAAAACATGACTCTTCTCTTTCCAAGTAGCCCATTACGGTATTATAGAAATAATGTAGAAATTAGAGTTTTTAGAGAGAATCACCTCACGGACATCAACAGCAAATAGGATTACAGTTCAAATACCTTTTTTTATATACAATACTATTTTCTGTTACGGTTTAGAGCTATTTAAATATTTTGTAATGTATTGATAACTTGTTTTAAGTATTGCTCGCTTAAATACACAGTGCTTTGTGGGATTAAGTTTAGGTCTTTATATATCTGTGCCTATCTGCATCGCTGGCCCGAAGAGTTACATTCTTTACCTTTGTTTTACATATAGCCAATTGTCTTTATCTTTGTTGCTGTTATCACAACGTTTTCGGCATATATTTTTGGCATCAGTTTTCGGCCCAGGTTTAGGGATTTCCCGATTAGTTCTTATTTTTAGGACTCAGTTACTGAGCACGCTCTAACCACTGTCCTGCCCAGGGATTGTACTCACAATTAATGTTGCCAAATTTACGAACCAATGCTTTAATCGATTGTCTCGTGGGACAATTTGCTGTGAAGAAGTTAACCCTAACTTGCCTGCTGATGAATGCTGATGCTTCTTGTCACGCTTCACTGTACTCATTGAAGTTTCCCAATTATATCTGCTGTTACTGTTAGGAGACTTTCTATCACTTTTCTTTCTTTTTTCTTTCTTTCTTTCTTTCTTTCTTTTTAACGGCTTCTATATCGTATTTATTTATATTCTAGATCTATTAAAGATGCTTTCCTAGGCTAGCAAATGCGCAGATTTTTTTCAGACTTCTAATTCTCCAGTGTTCTTCCTCGTTCAGTATTTTCAATTCATTCCACTTGGGCTGATGACTAACTACACTTCTTTCTCCATATATGATCAGCTATGCCTGATTTCATTTCCTCATCTCTCACTGCGGCTTTTCCATGTTCCTCCAGCCTTACTTTTATGAGTTAGCTTGTTAGACCTTTATATTCCTTGCCGAATCTGCAAGGAAAGATGTATAAGCAGTACTTCATGTTCTTTTCTGTGTTATGCTTTACTCCTCGAGAGATTTCTCCGTACAGTAACGCTGCTTCTGGATATTGTCCTGATGGTGTATGGGCCGCAAATCTTCTGCATCTTTACTGATATGCCCTTGGCATAAATTAGAAATACCGTGGAAATTCTGATCTTCCTCGGCAACCCTTCTGTTTCCACCTGCAGGCACTCATATTATGCTTGCCTGACAATACGCATGATGCTGATCATTTCTTACTGTTATGTGTCTGGGTTGTTTCATATGATTTTTGTCCGGTGTTGTAGGCATCGGACAAATCCCTTTCTTCACACTATACGGATGGTAGGAATTGAAGTTAAGCTATTTTCCGGCGAAGGGTGACTTGTGATACACGGATGTTTTGATCCCGTTTTCTGTGCGCGTTTTTAGTACACCCAGGAAGAATAGCTTGTTACTATTTTCTTCTTGCATTGTGAACTAGATCGAAGGTCTTATTGATTGATTTTCAAGTGACCCCGCTGTATTTGTACATTTTCCTTCAGCAGCCAGAGCATGAATGTGTCCTCTGCGTATCTCAGTCGTACTGTTAGCTTTAGTGGCGCCGTTCCTGACGCCATTTCCTCATAGTATTTCATATATACGTTCGCCATTACTGGTTACAGCGGTGAACCCATAACCAAGTTTCCTTCCTGGTGATATATGTCAGACTCTAGATGGAAGAATGTTTTCTCTCCACAAAACGTCATTTCCATCACTACGTCTTTTCAATGCTCCCTCGACAATAATCCCCTGTAGGCTACCCGGATTTGACCTGCAATTAAGGGCATAACAGCCAAAAAGTGTTAAAAACAAGAGCAACAAAGATGAGGACTTTAGTACGCGTGTAAATTGTGCCTCTTTTATGCCCTGATATACAGTAGATCATTTCAGATACTGACGATAATATTGTCCAATAACAAATAGCATTCAAATATTTTAAATGTTATTCCGGATGGAGATATCAAGGAAAACACTAACGATATATTCGTATCCAGAACAGATTTTGATTCTCACCTGGATGTCATACATGAAACCAACTCGTTTATTAATGTCTCTGATGTACATGAAATCGTCTTGTGAAACTAAAGGTTAAAAACTTCTTCAAAGGAGTACATATTTTAGAAGGCGATCATAAACTACAGACACTGCTAGATTACAAAGATCTTCCCCAAATAAGAAAACACACATCCTGGAATACTTCGGACAGCAACAACACAAAAAGGTCCGCATGTGTAAATAGAATGAAGCGTCATGATACAAATAAATGTTAGCCTTGCACACAACTAAAAACAAATAGTTAGAAATGAAACCCCTATTGACACTGAAAAAGGGGTAACATTTAATAAATTTATTTATAGAACTGTTTTAAGAAACACAATTTATAAATTTGGAACGATAGTAGAACTACCTCTTGACCTCAGTATGCTCCTGGAGAGTCAAGTTTCCCATGCTCTCCTTCTTCATTATTTATACAAGTAATATCTGCTGACTTGCCCTGATTTTGAGTATTTATTTTTTTTGCTGCTATTCTTTTTAAGACTTTCTTGTGGCTTACTCCCACCGTCCATGGAATTTTTAGTATCTTTCTGTAAAACCACATTTTTTGCTGCCTCTAGTTTTTTCCTCATCTATTTGTCAAGTATTGACTGCCATATCAGAGGATGGAAATCACATAGCAATCCAGCAAACCTTCATTAGTTTATAAATGAAATTTATTTCTATTTTTTCAATGCTTCTTTCGATAATCTAGTATATGTCCGGATCCTCCGTTAGAACCCTTTCCAGACATTTGATATTCTGCACCTGCTTGATGTTTTTATCCCCAAGTATTAATTTACATCTTGGAGTTTTTCGATGGCTGATGACCATACTTTCTGTCATCATGCAGTTGACAATAATTTTTTTCTCCGTTTATACTAACACCGTGTCTAGGAGATCCTGTTGTTTCTCTTTCTAAGCCAACCATCAACACAGATATCTACGTATGTTTCAGCTGTTCTTTTTAATCCTTATATCACCTAATAATATTAAAGGGAATAAGATAATTTGGAGGTTTTAGTTAAAGGGAGATGATTGAGATATCCGGAAGAGACATGGCACGTGGAACTAGAACAGTCTACCCAGGTGGACGAAGTAAATGGTTCAGTTCGAAATTCCAATCACCTGAAGAAGGCCGGAGTGTAAAACGGCCGAAAGGTTGGGAATATGTCAACGAATATAAGGACAGCAGTTCGAGTAATGTAAATAATTTAAATGATATAATCAAATTGTTAACTTTCGTTACGAACAAAGATAAAACGCCTGGAAGATATTAGGTTGGTGCAAAAATAATGACGTAATAATGTCGGTTTTGACGTATTTTTAAGGTCAAAAAACGACATTATTACGTCATTATTTTTGCACCGACCTAATAAATGTTATCAATACTAGAAAGTGCAATAGCATCGGATGTGAAAATTGTAAGTTCCTGAAGAACTGCTCCAATAAAAATATGTATCACCGTGGTTCTACAGAAGAAACTACTTATAAAGGTGATTCTACAGAAGGTCGCTGAGAATACCATAGACTGAACATGCGATCGGCGACGTTACGGGCGTAACACGTTGACTCACAGTTTTCACGTACGATTAAATTTTCAAGTCTTTTTCCCCTGCTCTATAGACTGTCATAGCTGAAACTCCTTCCTCACGGGCCAAACGTCTCATGGATTGAGTTGGAATTTTTCTAATTGATCTCTTCAGCTCTAACTTTAATAGATAATCTGTATTTCTGTTGTGACCTCCTGATCCGTTATCCCTCTCTACTGTTCCCTCTTTTTAAAACTTATTTCCCGTTCTATTGATGGTTCTAGAATGTACTTTGGAGATGGAAACCAGATTATTAATGCTGGTACCATTAATGAAGGTTTGAATGATATTTGTTCTTTCACCATTGCTCAGTTGGGAAGACAGTAGGGCTAACGCAAAAAAGATTTTCTCTTTCTAGCTGAATATCTCAAATAGATTTTTTTTTAGCGATTCTTACGATAAATGGAATCAAGATGGCTAAACGTCACATCTGAAAACCTGGCAAAAAGAAAATCACTTAGTTTAGTGCTTTTTAGATATTACACAATTTGGTGGGGTGTGCAATTATGCAGTGCCACGATTTGGACAATTTTATGGTTACAGGTATATATATATATATATATATATATATATATATATATATATATATATATATATATATATATATATATATATATATATATATGTGTGTAATACAAAAGTTTCAAACACTAATATTTCATGGTTATAATTTATTACATTGGAATCATAATTACTACCCAATTCATCAGACCTACAAATTCAAAAAAGATTTTTTGAATTTGTAGGTCTGATGAATTACGATTCAAATGTAACAAATTATAACCATGTAATATTAGTATTTCAGCCTTTTAAATTATATTCTTGCTCTGTCCTGGACATTGAGCTCTACCTGGATTCTATCCCCTTGGAAATTTATATATATATATATATGTATATATATTGACCACCAATATTCTATCTATCTATCTATCCCTCCTCTCTCTCTTGCTCTCTCTCTCTCTCTATATATATATATATATATATATATATATATATATATATATATATATATATCCTAGAGAACTGTTTCCTCCATCAGCCTGACTGATGCTCACCTCCAGGTCCGTAGCTCATTGTCACACGTTTTCTACTGACTTGGAGTGGAGCGAGATTATATTGCATCGATTGCTAGGTCTGACGCTAAGACAATACTACTATACATCCCGAGATTTTGCGACCTGATGAGTAGTAGAAAACGAATAAAAAAAATCAAATCGATATTCTTGACAAAATTCAAAGAAAGTTTTGTAATATAATTGGATCTTACCTGCCATCTCTACTTCAGCCATTTTAACCCAGATGTCACGTGACTGTACTCTGTCTTTTCTACACCTCGACCACGTGAATTTATGCTTAATACTAAACTAATAGGGCCTGTGGTTTTACGCTTGATATAACTAGATGAATGCTGTCTTGTAATAGTTTCTTTTCTTGCATTTCTTACACGTGGAACTCTCTTGCGGTTTCTTGATTCTCTGCCACTTAAAAATCTTCAAAGCGCGGGTGGTGTAATGACTATAAGCGGAGAAAGCAAATTTAGAGCCGTTATCATGTATTCTAATCAGTTAGGTAAAGTCAAATTGGCAAGTGATAATAAAAGTGACATACAATCTGCTGTTAACCGAGGCAAGGAATGGTTTATTATTTTCAAGTAATCTAAAACATAACTGATTTCTATTAATTATGTGAGAGATCCCGTTCTAAGTTCCATAAGCAGAACTGATGCTAACCTCCAGGAGAGTGATCCGTTAAACCGTAACAGATTAACGTTCTCTGCTAATATGAGGTGCAAAGATTATATTGAATCAATCCCTACGGCTACTGCTAAGAAAACTGGTTCTCTATGTCGTGCTAGACATTTTACTCTTCAGAATCTACCTTATATATTTATAAAACTATTATTACGACGACTGGTGCCCCTGCTCTATATTTAGAGATTCTTGATAAAATACAAAGCAGAATTTGTAACGTTATTGTTCATGATCTGGCATCTCGGCTTCAGCCATTTTACCTCCTCTGTAATGTAGCTTCCCTCTGCCTTTTCTATACTTTCATAGATGGACTTTGTTCTACTCTACGGCACCTAGACATTAGGAATGTAAGCGCAGTAGATAAGCAGCGAGATCTCATCATTTTAAAGTTGAAATGGCTAGATGTGACCGTAATTCTATAATAGCAGTTTCTTTTCTCGCACTTCTCGTCTGTGGAACTTTCTTTTGGCTTCTTGATTTCCGACCAACTTCGGTGATCAAAAATGTAAATGCATTGTCAGACGTTAATAAATGTCATATATGAATGAAAAGTGTCACTGTTGACATCGGAGTTTGATCGTAAATCTCTAGTCAATGGGAATGTAGACCGTCATTTAGTATAAACAGGGATATCATGCCACTGACAGAGGGGTTACAATTACTCGTTGACTATTGTGTTAACCCGGATGTTAAAGTCGAGTGCCACGTGTTCAAAGACAATTTAATACTTTCCTTAGCAGTTCTAAGCAGTCATGTATTAACTGATTAGTAATCAATAATTTTTCTGTTGACACTTATCTTCTTTGCTGTTAATGTTATTTTAATTGCGTTTGGCAATTAATTAATTATTTTACATTGAAGTCTCTTTTATTATTTGTATTATGTACGTGTGATGGATTACAAAAATAACGTTTTTTTCTTTTTCTTATTTTTTCACAGTCAGTAACCAATTGAATTCAATGGCTTTATTTCCTTGTCTGGGGTGAAATGATTCAAAAGAACATTACTTAAACTCGTGATCATAAGGTACACAATCACACGCCATACTTAATTTCGAACTTCATAATCATTTCAGTGATTGATTCGTATTATATAGACCCAGTGTCCAAAAGTGGAATAATTATCTGCTAACTAGAGAATTATCTATCTACCGATTGTTAAATTAAGATTTAAACATACACTTGACAGAAGAAGAAAAGTGGATCGGACAGAAGTATGAACGGTCTTACATTCATTTCACTAAGAGTAAATCTCGCTGTATATTCGGTTATGTGTGAAGGTTAACGGTCCATCCTAGACTTGAATAGATGAAGACTGTAGGTGTCAGGAAAGCTTCGTCAAAGCAATTATATTTCACAAAGCAACAGTTCTTAGGAAGAAGCTATTCGAGTGAAATTGAATTCATTAATGGAATACAAAAAGGAATGAGTATGGTTCGACCCATATACTCGTATTGGCGGTTTTTAGTTGAGGGAGTAGACCTGAGGGATTATAATGGACGGGATTATACCGTGTCGCATCTAGCACAGGTCAAATTCTGCAGATGCTTCTGTTTGTGCGGATCACCTTTTATTCAGGTTTTTGCCTAAGCATGCAAAGCAATAGTTTTAAAAGCATTGAACCACGCATGCGCTTTACCCAATTTGCAAATGGCGGCTCCGACGTAGCTTCTTAGCCACATATAGGTTGGAATTCTTTGATATTATTTCACCACATACAGCCTTTCTTCTTGTTCTTTCAAGTCAGTTCCTTAATTCTTTTACTGTCCCTTGTTTTCTCTTGGACTTCATACTAAAGATGTTTAATTTCTTCACTGATGGCAGGTAGACATTGATCAGGGTCATGAAGCATTTCTTCAGAGAGAGCCTTCTCCAATCTATATACTCTCCAGTCAGGTTAACGCCTGGGAATATGACCTTTATTTTAAAACCGGTGTCATACTAATATTTTTCCAATGACCTTAGTTAAATCATTATCAAGAGTCTTTATTACATCAATCATTGTTAATAAAAATTAATGTTTATTGATTGATTTGTAATTTACGGATTATCAACACTAAATGGGTTATGTAAGTTCGAAAACAATATTGTATTATAGGAATAATTATCTTTTTTTGTGAATGAATAATGCATTAACAAAATCTACTATTTAGCCCATACCTGGGTATCTGCGCGTAAGTGGATGAAACGAACGCTGACTGGAATTCGAGCTCCGCTTTCCGAATCCTCGTCCCAGGACGCTATCCATTACACCAATCATCATCATCATCTTGCGGCCTCAGCCGAGATTGAACTCACTACACCTCTCCCGTATTCCCTATCTGTGATAGCACCTAAAAGATCTTCCTTAGGGATCAATGTGTCTCGTTTTATCCTATCTGGAAAGGTTGTTTGATCGATTGTCAGATGATGGGTGCCTCCAGAGTACAAATGATGACACAAATTCATCTGTGGCACGTGCACAATGCCCGGCGAACTGGACACGTCTCCTGCAAACTGAGGTTTATACTCTCGGCAAATCTCCGCGAGGCATTTAAATATCAGGTTGGAATCTGGCGCGGGATAGCCTTTCTTAGATGAGGGTGAATGGAGTCTCTCTGAGCCTTGGTTGGCAATCCATTCAGTGATGGTGTCACGATAAAAACACCCTTGATAGCCCTAGCGAAGCATCAAGAATTCAGCTATTGACAAGATTATGAACTACACCAATCAAAGTATTACACCAAACGCAGATCCTCAAATCGATCGTAGGGTTAAAAACTAGCTTGTAACGTTCAATAACTTAAAAACCAAGCCAGTATGGTTTCCTCATCGCCGTTCAGAACCTGAGTTTTCTCCCCCTGAATGAAACTCTTATCTTTTCCCATCTATTTCGTCTCAAGTTCGCTCCAGACGTATTGAAACTCATACATACAGCGTGAGATAGAAATACCTCATATTGGGTTGGTGCATAATTATCAGGCGTTTTTAGGTGAGTTTTGTTTTAATAAAAATATATTATTTTCTAGCTCATGAAAATGCCTGTTACTAATCATACTCCTAATCGTTATATTATGCTTTACCCCTTTGACAAAGGATGAAAACTAGTGCAGTCATTTCGCGATCTCAAGGAACTTTTTGGTGAAGGAACAATCATCGAAAGTCGATGCAGGGAATGGTTTTCCCGTTTCAAATCAGATTAGCTTGGAAGATAAGCCAAGAAGAGATCGATCATCGGATTTCGACAACCAGGCACATTTGGAAGAGGACAAAAGCTTGATAACTCGAATACTGGCCGAAGACTTCAATGTGGTCCATTCAACCATCGTTCGTTGTCTCAAAAAGCTCGGAAAGGTATGGATATTGGCTGGATGGGTCCCTCAAGACGTCTTACACAACAATACAGCCGTACATGTCCAAATTTTCGCTGATTGGCTGCAACGAAACGAAAAAGCTCCGTTTCTGAAGAATCTTGTCACTGGGGACGAATCATGGTTTCACTTGAGAAACGTCAAAAGAAAGAAGGCCAGCGTTTCGACAGGAGTTTCACTAAAAGGAATACCGAAAGACGTTCACTCTGTAAAGGCAATGTGGTATGTGTGTGTGGGGGGGGGGCAGAAGCGGAATCATACTTTGGGAAATCATTTCAAACGGGCTTTGTTATTGGTGGAATGACGATGATGAGTGTCAACAGTGGCGGATTCCAAAAAAAACAGCAATTCTACATCAATAGCGATGTCTATCTGGCTCAATTTGACCGCAGTCTTGCTGCAATTGAGACGAAAAGACTGCACAAAAAGAACCATATCGTTTTCCACCACCATCATGCGGATCCACATATTGAGTATCGTATTGTCGAATATGTCTCCAATAAGGGCTTGGAACTGCTTCCACATCCGTCATATTCTCCTACATAAACGCCTACGGACTCCCAGGTCAATTGATCGCTGAAAAATTGGTAGGTGAACAAATTTTATGCCGATTTGGATAACTTAGTGGCCGATGCCAAAGCATGGATTGTCTCCAAGAACCGTGACTTCTTTGCCCGTGGAATTGACCGTCTTCGAAGCAAATGGGATACAGTTATTGACGTTGATGGTTACTATGCTCCGGAATAATCATTTTAAAATGTTATTATTGAATTAAGTTTATGTTTTCATAATAAATATTTTTTAAAACGCCGGATCAACCCAATATTTTAAATTCTCACCTCTGTGGTGCTATTGAAGTCAAGTGGCAATGGTGCCTTTATCTAGCTAATGTATTACCATTTTTCTAAGCTACCATCAGTTATCATTATGGCTTGAACTGGTGCACATTTCTTAAGAGTAGTGAATCTGTAATTGCGTCACGGGGAGCTTTTTATGCTCAGTTCAAGGTTATGTCAGAATGATGCTGTTCCAGATTGGATATCGATACTGCTATAGGTTGATCATTTCAGGGCCACAAGTTCAGCGCTTAAAAGAGAGCCGCCCGAAGTGATAAGAAATCGTCTCCAACATAGTAGGGTGAATAGAGGTCACCATTTGCAGTATGCCATTTTTAAAACTTAAAAACTATGGACATAGATGAGATATATATTTTGAAATATTAGTTACCTTGCTCTTTTACTCAACCTTTAAGAACGCGGGAGTTATTCCTGCCGCAAGGTTTATAATACATGGCTAATGAAGCTGGGAAAAGGACCGGCTAATTGTATCTCTCCAGGAAATAACCGACTCCTTCTAACGATCGTTATCTTTTCTAGAGCACTTACGGCCATGTATTGAAACACCTCTTCCAATACTATCACCGAAGTTAATCAACGTCACACCTGGTCAATACTTAGATGAGTGACCGTTTGTGGTGCTCTAAGCGTAGATGTGCAGATTTTGTGATGGATAACGTCTTGGATTTGTTAATCGGCGAGTCAAATTCCAATTTCAACAGGCATCGTAATATTCACTTATTTTAAATTCCGCTGGGAAAAGTATGAATCCAACTCCTCTCCCCCAAGCTATGGCTTAATTAATAAGACTTGTATCACTAAAATGTTATTATCTCAACAAAGAATTTACAATCAAAAAGAAACCAGCAAAAGGTTGATAAATCATAAAAAACAACTCAATAAAATATTATCTCATAGGATATGTTGGCTTACGGCCATTTTATGTTGAAATTCTGTTCTCGTACGCTCACCGAAATTAAGCAACGTCAAACTTGGTCATTAGCTAGATGGGTGTCAACTTGTGAATATCTGGAGCTGTAAGCTTGTACGTGTGGTTAACGGCTCGGAAATGGTAATCGGTGAACCGAATTCCAATGTCAGTTGGGTTCGTAATATTCACTTATTTATAAATATCACTGGGGAAGGTATGAATACGTCTCCCCCACCACCAACTGTTGTTTAATTAGTAAGACTTGTATCGGAAAATAATTATTATTTCCAACAAATTCTTACAATCTAAAAACATATTATGGCTTTGAATAACTGGCAAAGGGTTGACAAACCGTTAAAAAAAAAGAAATCAATCATCGGATATTTTATGCCAAAAATGTTCATATCTCGCGTGGACGCCTGATTCTTCTACCTAAGTTTGCCAAAGAAAAATCCTCGCAATTATTAATGGAAAAAGAAAACAAATATTTCTTCCACAGACACCAATGAAAACTCCAAACAAGAAAAAGAAAGAAAAAACTGCAATTGAACAGACAAATGAAATATGCCAAATCTAAAAGATAAAAACCTATATATATATGGCATAAAAAGCAAGGAATTTTATATTATAGGCCATGATAGATTTAAAATAAAAACAAAAACACACACCAGTCGACCGGTTTCGTCCAATCTGTTAACGGGGAACACAAATTATGAAGAGAAAAAAAAAGAAAGTCTCTCATGGATGACGCGAATTAAATGGCCAGGGAGAAAAAATATAATTATAAAAATTATACCAAGAAAAATGCTAGAAGCGCAGCACAGCAATCGGTTAACAGTTTTGATAAGATGGGACGAAACCGGTCGACTGGTGTGTGTTTTTGTTTTTATTTTAAATCTATCATGGCCTATAATATAAAATTTCTTGTTTTTTATGCCATAATACGTTTCTGTACTGTCTCAAACACACACACACACACACACACACACACATATATATATATATATATATATATATATATATATATATATATATAACTGGCCACTCGTATTCGAGGATACCAGTCTACTAGGGCGTCTAGACAATCCCTACTGCAGATGCTTACTCAGGCTCATTTATGTTTATTCAACACCTACAGAGCCCACCTGTGGTTTATACAGCAAATATGCTGAGCAGACCTTAGTTACAGTTTCTGGAAGAGAGTGCATTACCTAGTGTGATCAACAATTTGAACAAGTTCAACACGCTCAAGCCGTCGGCCACGTTGACTTGTGACTTCCTTCTAGCACAGCTCTCAACGGCGTCCAAGGGTACCCTCTACCCTGTTTCACTCACAATACTTGTGTCAACCCGTGGTATGGTTTTCAGGTACTTTAGAAAGATGCCGTACGCTGGAATCAACGCCTCCATTCCGATAAGATCAGGAAGTAACCTTCCTGACAAATCAACCATGGTGAGATTCGAACCCGGGTCTCATGATCACAATGTGAACGTTCCATGTACCGACATTTAAAACAAGTAATCAAAATGGAAAAAAAAATAGATAGGTTAGCATATCGCCCAGTTCGCACTCCTTCTTTCTTACAGGAGTAGAGCTTTATCCATCGATTCATATTTCGGATTGGTTTTCTTCTCCATTCTAAAGTTTATTCAACCCTGTACTTCTAACGTCTCCGCCTAAAATCTAAAATTTTATTTACTATTTATTTACTTTCAATAGGAGTAGACAGATTCGCCTATTTACAAGTTCACTCACCACACCCGGTCTTTGAACAGGAATAGAGTTTATGGATTGTTTTCAGTTAATGACAAGATTTCTGGTCCCTTCTAAAGTCTACTTCAAATGTATATTTCTAACGTCTCCGTCTAATTTCTGAAACATATTTACTTTTTTCCCCTCAAAAGGAGTAGAAATTTACGCCTATCGTCAGGATCACATTTATTTCCAATCTTTTGAACAGAAGGAGAGGCTGGTTCATTGTTTCCTGCTTAAGATTGAGTTTCTGGTTCCAGTTATATTTTACTAATTCTCTTTCACTCCCAGGAGACCCTTGCGTCTTAGCAGCATTATCACCTTGCTTGGGGTGAATTGATTAAAAACATACGATTTGCGTCTGGTGTAATGTAGAATGACGCGGGTAGTGAAATCTGCGCGCTGAGTACAAATTCCAGACTTGTCAGCTGCATTCACTTTCTTACTAATATCCTAGGGTAAGGCATAAATGCAATTCTTCTTTCCATCCCCACCCAACCGGCTATGGGTTAAATAGAAAAGTAAACTAGGGCATTTTTCCCTCAAGTAGAATAAATATGTCTATATTTCTGAGATGAGGTATTGTAACTATTTACACTATTTACATTGTTCGGACTGTTGTCCTCATCTTTATTGCCATATTCACCTTCAACATCTGTCTCTATTTCTGAGATGAGGTGTTGTAATTATTTACACTATTTACATTGTTCGGACTATTCTCCTCATCTTTATTGCCATATTCACCTTCAACATCTGTCTCTATTTCTGAGATGAGGTATTGTAACTATTTACACTATTTACATTGTTCGGACTGTTGTCCTAATCTTTATTGCCATATTCACCTTCAACATCTGTCTCTAATTCTGAGGTGAGGTATTGTAACTATTTACATTGTTCGGACTGTTCTCCCCATCTTTATTGCCATATTCACCTTCAACATCTGTCTCTATTTCTGAGATGAGGTGTTGTAACTATTTACACTATTTACATTGTTCGGACTGTTGTCCTCATCTTTATTACCATCTTCACCATCAACATCTGTCTCTATTTCTGAGGTGAGGTATTGTAACTATTTACACTATTTACATTATTTCGACTATTGTCGTCAACTTTATTGTCATATTCACTTTCAACATGTCTCTAATTCTAAGATGAGGTATTGTAAGTATTTACATTATTTACCTTGTTCGGACTCATCTCCTCATCTTTATTGCCATATTCACATTCAACATCTCTCTATATTTCTGTGATGAGGTATTGTAACTATTTACATTATTTACATTGTTCGGACTGTTGTACGTTCCGGCATTCTCCAGGTAATATACGCCTTGTATATGAAAATAAAAATGAGGAAAAAAGTCCGAAAAATGTAAAAAGTGTAAATGGAGTAGGTATGCCCACCTATCATGCGGTTCACACTCCTTCCCTGTTTTTGAAGAGGAATAGAAGTTTATGCCTTGCTCTCCATATCGGATAAGGTTTCCGGTTCCTTCTAAAGTCTGCTCATTGACTTTCGCTCCCAGAAGCAGCCTTATGTCTTAGTGAAATTGTCGCCTTCCTCAGAGCGTTGATTAAAGAGAAAATGCAGGAATAATAAGAAATACAAAGGACGCAACAAAAGTTTTTTTTTTTTTGTCATTTATTTTAAAAAATATAGATTTTTTTTCTTTTGTCGTGAACTTTAATAAAAAAAAAAGATGTTAAAATGTGCTTATTTCTTCTTTATAAATATATTTTGAAAATGAACCTCACAAATATATTTAATAATGAAACATTTAACAATGAAGAGAATTATTATAAATCTGTCATGAAAGTTTGAAATAATCATTGATTTGTCGGATTTAAAATCGTCATCAGTATGAAAAATAATAATAATAATAATAATAATAATAATAATAATAATAATAATAATAATAATAATAATAATAATAATAATAATAATAATAAAGAGTATCAAATAAAAATAGAAAAAAAAACGAAAGAAACTCGTTACCGATTTTCATATTCAAAATACGTCTAATAAATTTGTCGGTCTGTCTAGGGAAACAGAACCAAGATTCAGTAAAAATTTTCCCAGGGTGCTGTTCAGCTTTTTCCAGGAGCGAAAATTTACAAGTTTTCTCAACCCGTTTTTCAAGCAGTTTTTTGCTCCTGGGGTCGAAACTCTGTTAACGTCATCTCGAGCATGATAACGCCGTTCAGGGTCACTCATCATACACCGACCATCGTCCAAAGGATCGGCTGTTTCAAACGGCGGATCCCAACTTCGGAGTGCCATAACTCCAACTTTAAACAGGATAACACAAGATCGTTTACTGACTAGTCCCCTCTATTAAACTCGCACGTTTGCCAAGTCTATCTTACTCAACACAGACTTCAACTCCGAGACACGTCTAGTGACTAACGTAATAGCAAATTTCTAGATGTCAGTCTTCGTGCCGAATTTTTTTTTTTTTTTCAAAAAAAGCGAGGTATTGAATTCTAATTTTCAGATTTAGGTAAGTACTCTTCTGTTTAAAGAATGATAGAGGAGAATGTTTTCACTCTTCTCATGTTCATCTTTGGTTTTAAGCCAGACACCGTTGGGACCTTTTTCTTGACATCACTATTCATAACACGGCTTTCTTTCTTTGCTTATGCGTTCTTATACTGTAAATTTAATTTGAAATAATCGCTTCATGTCGGCGAGGAACTGTTCTTAAGTTTTCTGTTTCTGTTTTTCGTTATCTCATATAAACCATTCTCTTCGTTGTGGAATCGGCAGACCGTCTGAGCTGTACAAGAAGGCCATGCCGGGGCTGTCTGCGAAATCAGTTGCTCTTTTAGCCTCTTCTGTCTCATAATCGCCTTTCTGTCTGGTATAATGGCACATAATGTATAAAACAATCGTCAGCAGGATAAGGAAGATCGACACAGCCACTGTAAAAAGGAATCAAGAGAATTAATTGATTTTTATGAGGGTAAAAATCATTAGGGTAAAGAATGCATTATGCAACATAAATATTCCATCGATTTTTATCATTAATGGCATTGGGAGAGTTTAATTTTGATTAAATCGATCATCTTGATTGTGGGGTAATTATATATTTTTTATATTAATAGCAGAAGAATGGTAACATTTTTGACATTATTTTTATTTAGGTAAACACGACACTGAAACTCAAAAATAAATTGATTTTATAAATAATTTAACCCAGAAATCCATAGGCACAAGAGATTAGCGAAATATACTGTCCACCAAGTTATTAGATAATGGCAAATAACGAAAAAGTGTGTTTATACTGCAGCCTCATATCAAGGATATACTGTCATGTCTATCACTCGAGGTCGACTATGATGGTCAAATCATGTTTGTCTCAGTCAACCGGGCGGACTTGTGAACTCAGACATGACTAATGAGACAAATTATTGCTTGAAAAGTCCTTTGATATTGAGGGCACGTTGGATTAGCATTTGAATGTTGTTGGCTTTCCTTGAGACGTTTTTTATTACTCTAGTTCAGCTGATCGTTTAGATTCGAAGATTCTTGTTCCGTCTTTGACAATGGATTTGCAGACATTCATATCCATTGCCCTCGATTCCCAGCACTTTATATCGGTATTAAATTTCTTCATGTTTTCTTTTAGAACATCCTTGAATCTCTTCATTTGAAATCCTCATTTCCGATTTATTTCATTCAGTTAGAGATAAAAGATTTCCTTTGGTTCCCGGTTGTCAAAATATTCGCACCAGAAGTTCACTCCATTGAAGTTGATTTTTTTTTTATGAAAATGGCTTCAAGGCTGGTCATTCTAGCATGTTGCATTACACTGATGTTAGTTCGTCTGTCTTCCAAAATGAAGATTTCTCGTACATTCAGGCCGGTAAATGTTGTTTAATACTGTTTATTATAAACAGAGCATTTACTTAAATATTTGTATCTATAAAAAAGAATGTATAAACATATATATATATATATATATATATATATATATATATATATATATATATATATATATATATATATAGCAGTAACTAATGGGGAATTTCATCACAGGTGTTAGTAAGCAACAAAAGTAAGTACAGGATGTAAGCTATAAATTAGAGATTATACTCAAGTAAGTACACAAATTTAACTATCTGGATGGTGTAATAAAAGATGGCGGAAATTATAACACTGAAGGCGCATTGGAATAGAGAAAGACGCCTTCGAAAAGCTAAACAAAGTATTAAGAAATAGGACAAATTCATTAAAAATAAAGAATAAGCGTGCTTAACTGCAAGGTAATATTTTTCTTTATCTACGGCAGTTAGCGCTGCGCACTTTCCCCACGTATTAAGTGCAAGCATGATGCTACAGAGATTTTGTTCTACAGAAGGCTGAGAATTCTATGGGAGATGTATGTAAGCAACGGTGAAATTTTTTACAAAAATAAGAATTACAAAATTAAACTTATATTCAAAATAAAACATTCTGTTTATTTTTTAGGGATAAATTATGAGAAGAGAAGACTTACAAAATTTAACACTCAAAGGAAATATTTAAAGCTAGGAATGAAGAAGAAAACCTCACGTAACCCGTGTAATGAATATGTGTAAATAAATGGTAAAGTGGTGAAAAATCTAACTTTACTTCAAAATACAAGAAAGGAAAGTTGTAGAGAGCCATGTTCCTCAAAGTCCTTAAGGGATACAAAAATAAAAGAACATTGTGAATTATTGAATTTAACAAAGTTTGTATTACGTAAACAGTTTTTGCGTTCTTATTACTCGACATAACTTTTGTCTTTCATTTTCCTACCTTGTGAGGCTGCAGCAGACCCTTTCCTAGCTTTCGGTGCACACTGATGAGATCGAAATGCAAAGAAGAGATGTCAATGTGAAGCCGGTGATTTGCTTGGTCATTAACCGAGATATGCGCATACACTGCGACGTCTACCAGGACCCATTTATCGCTACTCTTTTATTCAAGGACGGTGTTAGAGCGCTTGTCGGTCAGGATGGTTGCATCCTACATGGGCTTCTATTGCTCATTCTTGGCTACTGATGGCGGTGAATGTTTGTGCCGCTTCCTGTCTACATCACAGTGGACACTGAGGGCTACTTTATCCTGGTGTTGTCTGTGCCAGCCACTGACAATATTTTGCTCTTTGTCAGTGGCTTTCCCACACAGCTTCAACAAAGGGATAATCAGCTGTTTGATTAATATAGTCTATTGATAGACTTGAAACTTCCTCTTACAGTGCATAGATCATCCATAAGTTTTTTTCTTTCTTTATTTCTTCTTTCTTTTTTCTTTATTTCTTCTTTCTTTCTTTCTTTATTTATTTCTTCTTTCTTTCTTTCTTTCTTTTTTTTCTTTCTTTCTTTCTTTTCTTTATTTATTTATTCTTTCTTTTTTTCTTTATTTCTTCTTTTCTTTCTTTTTTTCTTTATTTTCTTCTTTCTTTCTTTATTCTTTCTTTATTTCTTCTTTCTTTCTTTCTTTATTTATTTCTTCTTTCTTTCTTCTTTCTTTTTCTTTCTTTCTTTATTTCTTCTTTCTTTCTTTCTTTCTTTCTTTATTTCTTTCTTTCTTTATTTCTTTCTTTCTTTCTTTCTTCTTTATTTTTCTTTCTTTCTTTATTTTTTCTTTCTTTCTTTATTTTTTCTTTATTTTTTCTTTATTTTTTCTTTCTTTCTTTCTTTATTTGTTCTTTCTTTATTTCTTCTTCTCCTTCTTTTTCTTCTTCTTCTTCTTCTTCTTCTTCTTCTTCTTCTTCTTCTTCTTCTTCTTCTTCTTCTTCTATTTATGTTGTATAATCCTTTACTTCCTTGTCCCAGCCAGAGACATAATGTCAGGATGCTATTTCTGACCTTAGGTTTCTGGGTGGGACACGCAAAAAAAAGATTATACAACAAAAATCACTGAACATTTCCATAGAACAGTTTTAAACAACCTAAGATCATACAAATTTTACGTAGATAAAAACCTACGTATGGTGTGAGCCCTACGTGTAAGGCATGTGTTACCAAGGATTCTTTAAATGAATCAATCAGAATTTTGTCCAATCAACCACAACTGGTATTATTGATCCCTTCATGCAGTACATTTTTTGATTCCACTTGAATATCCTTATATTTTGATGACGATATTATTATTGTCTTTATTATTTCCTTGGATTTATGTTGTATACACATTTACTTTATTATTATTATTATTATTATTATTATTATTATTTTATTATTATTATTATTATTTTCTTTGATTTCTGGCATTTACACATTTCTTTCTGGGTCCCGCCCAGGGACCTAAGGTTAGAAATGCCATCATGACACTTTCCACTGAAAAAAAAAAAATAATTACATAGATAAAGCCCTACGTAAGGTGTGGGCCGTACTTGTCAGAAAAATTTTTTGTATCTCCTTGAGGCATGGACTTCCAGGAATCCCATCAATTAGTCTACTGCAATCTTTTCCAACCAGTCCTAGGGCTCCAACTACAACAGGGATTGTTGATGTTCCCATATGCCACATTTTCGAGATTTCTATTTCAAGGTCCTTGTATTTTGACAGCTTTTTGAATATCTTCAAAGATACATTGCAGTCAGCAGGGACTGCCATATCTATAGGAGGCACCGTTTTTGTTTGTGGTCTTTAATAACAATATCTGGCCGGTTGGCCTTGATTGTTCTGTCAGTGTGTATTGTGTAGTCCCATAGAATTGTAACAGGTCCTATCTCCGTAACCGAGTCTGGGTGGTGTTCATACCAGTTTCTTTCAGTTTCCTTCCCGTAGAAGTTGCAGATTTTCCAGTGCAGATATTGGCCCACTCTGTCATGCCAGGTTTTATATTCAGTGGGTGCCAACACCGTACAACCTGATACAAGATGATGAATCGTTTCTGGATATTTATCACAGAATCTGCATTTTCGGCTGACAAAATATTTTAGTATATGTGCTTGATAATTCCTAGTTAGCAAGCATTAGTCCTGCGCAGCAAATATAAAACCTTCACTTTCCGCTTTCAACCCTGCACTACGTAACCACTGATGTGTACGGGTTTTGTCTACGTTACGGGTTTTATTATTATTATTATTATTATTATTATTATTTTATTTCATTTGATTTCTGGTGTGTACTCATTTCTTTCCGGTCTCGCCTAAAGACTTAAGGTTAGAAATGGCATTATGACATTTTCCCCTATATATATATATATATATATATATATATATATATATATATATATATATATATATATATATATATATATACATAGATAAAGCCCTTCGTAAAGTGTGAAATGTGAGAACAATTTTTTTGTATTTCTTTAAGGCATGGACTTCCAGGAATCCCTTCAATTAGTCTACAAGTATCTTTTCCAACCCATCCGAGGGCTCCAACTACAACAGGTCTTGTTGATGTTCCCATATGCCACATTTTTGAGATTTTGATTTCAATTATTATTATTATTATTATTATTATTATTGATGCTATTATTATTATTATTATTATTATTATTATTATTGATGCTATTATTATTATCATTATTTTTATTGTGGCTGAGTGAAAGTTTATAATGTCAATAAAGCAACTTTCGCTTACAAATATATGAAACCCACTATATCTATTCGATGACTTTGGCAGTATCTGTCTGTTTTTAGGTAATTAATTGCCCACCTGTCAAAAATATAAAGACGATTAAGAAGAAATCCAAAGAACGTAAAAGAAGCTTTTACTTTCCAAGAAAGAGTAGGTGAAAAAATAAATTTAGCGGATGTTACGAAAGCTGCTTTACTCACGCGTCCAGTAGACCGTATTGCAAAAGGCTGTCTCTACTCACATCTCCCCGGCCATATCTGTTTTTATTCGTTCGATTGCTCGTTTTCTAGAGTTTATCATCTTTTGCAGGTCATTTAAAGCCGGTAAATTGTATGTATCTTTTTTTTTTAAATAATAATGTTTTATTGATACAAGTCTTACTAATTAACCCACATCTCCGGGGAGATGTTTATTCATACCTTTCTCAAAGTTATTTGCACGGAAATGGATGTAAAAATATCGACTGGAATTGGAACTCAGTTATCTTTTTAAAATAGCGAGTCATTATTCATTACACCACTCACAGATCCAAGATTACAGCACCAAGTATTTCCAAGTGGTTACCTTTCTAGGTACTGACCAGGCTTGATGTTTCTTAACATTGGTGATTGTACGTGAACCAGTATTTCTCAACCTGCTTTAGCGAAGTCTACCAGAAGACTGTCTCTGGACATATGGGGTTTCGTTATGGAACTCATGACCAGTTAAGCCCATTGTATACTATTAGAGAAGAAGAAAAAATGTTAACCTAGCATGATAGCTAGTCTGATAAGGGTATACCAAGGACATGCACCACAGCCAAATCTGCGCCATATGGTGACAGGTTGCAATAAAAGCTGTACATAACCTTTTGGGTTGAACGCAGATAAGAATACATTCAGGTCGGGTAGCCCACTCCCTTCTCCGATTGAAGGGGTCCCCGAGTATCGAGGCGTGACTCCCAAGTACATTGGTTACCTCAATCTTCAAAGCTATCGTTATCTGGCCCTGATGCTCCCCAGCAACTCCTGCTCAAGAACACCGATCCACAATCCGTCAACCCCTAAGACACCTGCTCAGCTGGTTAAATTTAGCCAAATAAAATCAAATATTTCACTCTGGATAGCATAATAACTGTAGCTTAGCTTAATAAAACAGATTTCTTATTATTTTATCACCTTCATATTTATCTAACAGCATTCATATATCTGTTAGAAAACATTTTTGCAGTCTTTAATGAATATGATTTTATATATTTCACAGTAGGAATGGCAAAGTCCCAACAAACGCTAACAGATTCTTCTATGTTTGGTTCAAGAATATGTCCATGCCGTTTTTCAGCATATAGCATCCAGTAATATTGACATATCTTCCAAGAAATATTCTGACTTAATAGAATGAATTATGTATGTGTCTATGATCAGAGACTTAGTGATCAGTACTTTCAATATGTTCAAATATTATTATTATTATTATTATTATTATTATTATTATTTTCTTTGATTTCTGGCGTTTACACATTTCTTTCCGGGCTCCGCCCAGGGACCTAAGGTTAGAAATGGTATCATGACACTTTCCACTGACAAAAAAAAAAAGAAATTACATAGAGAAAGCGCTTCGTAAAGTGTGGGCTGTACTTGCCAGAACAATTTTTTGTATCTCCTTGAGGCATGGACTTCCAGGAATCCCTTCAATTAGTCTACTGCAATCTTTTCCAACCAGTTCTAGGGCTCCAACGACAACGGGGTTTGTTGATGTTCTCATATGCCACATTTTCGAGATTTCTATTTGAAGGTCCTTGTATTTTGACAGCTTTTTGAATATCTTCAAAGATACATTGCACTCAGCAGGGACTACCATATCAATAAGGAGGCACCGTTTTTCTTTATGGTCTTTAATAACAATATCTGGCCGATTGGCCTTGATTGTTCTGTCAGTGTGTATTGTGTAGTCCCATAGAATTGTAACAGATCCTATCTCCGTGACCGGGTCTGGGTGTTGTTCATACCATTTTCTTTCAGTTTCCTTCCCGTAGAAGTTGCAGATTTTCCAGTGCAGATATTGGCCAACTCTGTCATGTCGGGTTTTATTATTATTATTATTATTATTATTATTATTATTATTATTATTATTATTATTTGTGTATGTTATGTTTCCTGCTTTGTATCTTAAAGAACCGTGACCAAACTATGGTTCTTAGTCCCTATAGGAGAATTGTCATTTAATTGATAGCAATTTTCTTAGTAGAGGGAATGTTCCTAGTAGGGTTGATCTTCTGGGCAACTTGTCTGTTGATGTTACCTTTTCCCACGGGGTCCAGAGCTCCGATTATTATTGATAAAGACTCAGTCTTCATTCCCCACATTCTGTTAATCTCGATCTCCAGGTCATTATATTTGGACAATTTCTCGATATTATTCATGGAGGTGTTTTTCTCAGATGGTACTGCTATGGCAATAAGCATACACTTCTTTAATTTCTGGTCTTTATGCTAATATCAGTTTTTTTTATTTCCCTGGGGATAGTTACATCGTTAATTTGGTTAATTCTGTTTGGTAGGTGCTCATACCATGTCTCAATGTTTTCGATCTTTTGCTTCTTGCATATCTTCCAGTGCACACATGTTTCTACCTTGTTATGTCTATGAGTATATTCAGTTTTTGCTACTTCCGTGGATCCTGAGATAATATGGTCGACAGTTTCATTATATTTTCTGCAGATTTTGCATTTTCGGTTTAGTGCCATCCTTGATTAAGTGACAGTGATAGGATTTGGTTGAAAGTAAGTTGCGAGTATATTCATTTTTTGCTAGTGCCTTATTATTATTATTATTATTATTATTATTATTAGTAGTAGTAGTAGTAGTATTATTAGTCGTAGTAGTAGTATATTTTCTTTTGATTTTTGGTGTATATCCATTTCTTTCTGGACCTCAGTCAAAGACTTACGGTCAGAAACGGCAACATGATCTTTTCAACTGAGCATTTTTTGAAAAAAAAAAAAAAAAAAAAACAAGATCACACTTGTTTTACCGGTATAAAGACTTTTGCAATATGTGTACTTGTCAGTACAGTTATTTTTATTTCTTTAAGTTTTTTGTCTACCAGACACCTTTTCCAATCAAACCGAGGGGTCCAACTTATGTAGCTAATTTTTAGATTTCGGTTTACAGGTACATGTACTTTGATAGTTTATGAATATCTTTAAGGGCACATTACAGTCTGTAGTAACAGCCATGGCAG